AGAAATAACTCACAACATAGATGAACACCAGCAGGTTCCTGGTCCCAAGGGTGCTTCCAGATGCTGTTTCTGTCCAGCAAGCAAGAGTGTGCTCAGGGGGCCCCTTCCTCAGACTTAGTTCCCCCAGGTAATGTCCACCCCTGTCTCCACCCCCAATGGGCGTGGTCTATGCCACAGGTGCAGACGAATTGAATATCTCAGTGCACAGCTGGGTTCTGTAGTGATGCCCATGGCCCGTGTCAACATGGAGGCCACTGGGACCATGCTGTGCTGAGCTGATCCCTCATTTCACCAGCCCTAGCATGACTGGTCTTGCCCCTCGCTGGACTTCACAAGCATGTAAGCTGGCCCCACCCCTCAGGGAGGAGCTGGCCCCACCCCTCAGGGAGGAGCTGGCCCCTGCACTTGGGAAGGATGGCCCCAATCATTCACCCAAGAAACGCACTAGAGCTGCCTCTGTGTTTGGGGACACAGGTGAGTCAGCCTTGGGGTGAGAGCAGGAGATCTGACCCTGCTCCCACTCTGATGCCTACAGCAATCAAGAGAGAGGACTCTGCACCTTGCCTGGGCAAAAGAGTAGCACTGAGCCCTGGCCCTGTGAGTGATGGGACGGGGATTTGAGGGCCCAGGAGCGGGAGGTCTGGCCCTGTTTCTTGCTAGCCCAGGCAGCGTGCTCTTCTGGGAGGTGATGGTGAGGGAAATCTAGCCAGTTGACGAACTAACTCAGCTACCACCCAGGCCCAGAACCAGGGATATGAGCAGGCCCACCCCAACACCCACTGAATCTAAGAACTGTAGGAGCGCATGAAGGGGGACAAGCCTACAGATCCAAAACAGCAGGGTCTCCACAGCACAGGACAACAGGGTCTCCACGAGGGACCCCGATGAGAGCCCATTATTGGTGGTGTAGCCGAAGCCAGAAGCCTCCAGCCAGACCAATGACTCGGGGCAACGGACACTTGGAAGTACACACGAACGAACGAAGAGGCGAACTCTGGGACTCAGTGGGTCACACGAGAGCTTCCGGGACAAGAGTCGTCTTTTGTTTGGGTTGGTTTTTCTTTTAAATTCGGATGCAAGGAGATGAGGAGATAAGTGGGATCAGAGAGAGAAGCTCACACAAAGTAAGAAAGAAAACCAGAAGGATAAGTAGGGTGGGAATGTGTGAGTGTGTGAGGTGCAGTTTGGTGGATAAGTAAATGAAGTTGTGATTAGAGAACTGGGGAGACAAGGAGCTGGGAGGTAATGGCAGTCTGTCACCTGACCTTCAGGCAGTACCCGGGCGGACTAGGAGTCACCTTCCCTCCCCCTCTTTTGTTTTTAAAAAATTACCCATTAAACCTCATTTGCTCCAAATAGTGAAAATTGCATTCCCAAAGTCCATTCCCCTTTGTACAGCCAGAAAAAATCACCGAGAATCGTAGTAGCGCGACTTCTAAATACAGGGATAAAAGCAATTTACAAACGAGCTACTTCCTTTTCAAGTCATCGGTTTTTTTCTTTAAGAATCTATTTTTAAAATACCATTTGCAACATTCTCCTCTTGTCATATACTCTCAGACCATATTTTCAAAGGTCCACCCGTCTTTAATTTTTTTTTTCTCTTTTGCTCTTAAAATGTCACCGTGGCACTGAGAATCATGCCACATTAAATAAATAATGTAGATTTTTGATATGAGCTCTGTGAGTGGTCTTGCGCCCGTATATTGCTGAACTCTTAAGTATAGTCCGTATTGGACTGATTAGCAGGAGGCTTACCTAAGGGTACTACTTATTTACTAATGATCCTATCTCAAAGCCACCCTTATGCTGACATCATTTGGACCAGATATCATACCTCTGTAGCAAATCAACCCATTGGTAGGTAATGCATATTGTCACAAACTTATTTGTCCTCAAAATCATCCAGGTGTGTGGCATTTGTGATAAAATGGAATACATTTGCTTGGATTTTTATTTTTAAAAAACTTTTAGGTTAATTCCTGATAGCACATAGTTCAATTTATTTTGTAATACAGCATGCTAAAATCAGTATCTTCTTTTGAAGCAAGTGGGGATAATTCTCAGTGTAGACGGTAGAGGATCTGTAAACACACTCGTGTGAATAAAGAAAGGTGTTTCTCAGTACCCCTGCGGTGTGCCTTAATGACTTCTGCTTCTGGAAGGGTGTTTTTGATGTAATCCACACTCTTGTCATAGCTTTCCAGCCATGCTTGGCCTCTATCTAGTGAGACCCACACAGTCAAGCAGAGCATGTTGGAGAAAGGCTGGGGCATGGGAGGGGGCAGAGACCCAAATCTGCTGATCAGGAGCACATCCACCCCCTTCTAAATCCAGGCTCAAGAGCGCCCCCCCCCAATCCAGGAGCATTTCGGGAGATGTCTCTCTGAGACTGTTTTCCTTGAGTCTGTTTAGGCAGCTGTAGCTGCTCGGGTGAGGCTGGACTCTACTGTTCCCCTATTAAGCTGAGCCAGGGTTCAGCCTCAAGTGTGACATAAGAACATTGTCTCAGTCTCTGCTCATTGTGAGTACACTGAGGATTTTGAATACAAAGTCCCCTGCGGGAGTCTGGAGATCAGGCTTTTCCTCTTCAGTTAACTGCCAAGCAGGGGCCCGAACACGACAAAATGTGTGCACGCACACACAGGTTGGAAGCCGACAGGGTCTATCGTTATTAAAGTTCTTTGCATACTGACTGCATCGTCCATTGGGGACTGAGAATTCCCGGAGAGAAGGGAGCATTTCACTCATCTTTGTATTCTTTGCCATTCCCAGCCTGAAGCAGGTGCTTTTTGAAAGGTCTTGCCAAATTGAATTGGAAAAAGAGAGCAGAGGGCAGTCCAGAATTGAATCACACTCCAACACACCTGCTTCTCTGTCGGGCAGAAACATTTTTTAGTGTGATGATTAAGGGTTTCTTTTCCTTGTGCAGGATTTGAAAATCAAATCTAAACGTCTTGATTGTTGCCTTAAGCCTGAAAATTGTTCTCTCAGAAATAACTTAAAGCCGATATCTGTATAAAAACTTGCTGGGCAGTTTGACATTTCTTGTACAGTTTAGTTACTTTCTGTTCCTTGTCAATACTGTAGGATATTTTTTTTCCTAATTACCTCAGTTTTGACATCTTATTGATAACTTTTGTAATACTATGTGCCCTTTCTCCCATAATACTCCCCAGGATGCTTTTTTCCTTTTCCTTTGGGCGAGGACGCTGAAGATTTGATGGGAAAAGAAATGCCAAGTCATTCTCAGGGAACACGCTAGTAGGAAAGAGTGTCTTCTGAATTCCAGGCTTGCTTCTTTGCTACAAAGCCCTTCTACACCCAGGCAAGCAGTTATCTCTCTCCTTATCATTCTCTTATTCTCAATATCGAAGGAGAATTTGCCATTTTTTTTAAAAATTATTTCTATTCAATGTCAGGGTGCTTTGAAGGTTCACAAACAGGTAGGGTATTGCCTTGGACGGGTCTGAGACCTGTGTTGTAGGAGAGTGTTTTGTTTGTTTGTTTTCGAAGAAACAAAGGAAGTACTGTATCTCTTTGCTGACTCTTGCGGAGTTGTTTTCCTAAATCATATAGACCAGGTGGATTATCGGAGAACCTGCATCTGGTGTCACAGTATCTCTGTGATGGTGTAACCAATGCCAAGATGTGGTCGATGTACATAGATGGTAGGTGTCCCATGCCTTTGGGTTCTCATTATCTGGTTTAGTCTCTTCCTGTTTAGAATTTAGCTTTTGGATCACAAGCATTACAATCTCAGGGCCCTTGTCAGCAGTTCAGATTACCAAATCCCACTAGAGGCTCACTGAATCAGAACCCACATTTGACTTAGCAAAATGTATCGTGATTCTTGAGCGCATTAACGTTCAGTGTAATTAGACCAGAGTAGCCTTTTCAGCAACCTCAGGCTGCTCTTCCTGCTTAAAATATATGTACACACACAAAACTGAAATTGATCCTTAATTACTCTAGTGATATTTTTCTAATGTGTAATTATACCTTAGGGCTTCTATCGAGCTACTATTGGGCTTTGTGTCGACATTCAGACATTCAATTAGTTAAACCAGTTACTTCCAATAATAAACATCTCTCATACATTTCCTTGAGGACAAGAACTGCATTTTGTTAAATATTTGTGCTCACACAGTTCCTTGCATGTAAATGCTGGATAAACTGGAAGTCGAACCATGACTAACAGACCCAGTGAGCACGCAGAAGAGGGGATATCTAGTTGGTAAATTTCTTGAAGAATAAGGGAGTCGTCTTTGAATTATGAATGCTTTAAAAAAGGAAAAAAAGTAGTAGTTATATTTGTTGGTTGGTCTCTGTCTACAAGGAGACTGATCCTAGGGTATGACTGTAGAGACTAAGAAACAATAGAAAAGGAACGAAAACTGCAACTTCATGCGTCGTTTCTTACCTCGTCCAACCATCAAAACATCCTGTCAACGGGCGTAAACTGAATTCTGAAATTCAAGCACCTCGCTGAACTGAGGCAGCTGGTGTCAGAGCCCCACAACATACTTGGGTGTGATCACCAGCAATTGCGTCCACAGGCGCGTTCTGTAGAGTTGGACTGGTAGAAGAGTTATGAACCTCTATGGTATAGTCTGTATACGAAATTTCAGCACACACACACACACACACACACACACACACACACATACACACAACACACACACACACACACACACACACACACACACACACACACACACACACACACACACCGTTCTCCGCTCGCTCCTTTGCTCATCCGTCCTGGTTGCCCAAGAACAAGCTTTTGTTCTGGGTTTTCCATCAGACTGGAACAATGAAACGCAATCGACTCCCCGGGGGCCCTGGACTCTTTCCGTCCTCGGAACGCAAGTGCCAGGCCTTTCCGAGGCGGAGGGGACCAGGAAGGGACGGACGCAGGGCCCAGCAGTTGCCTGGCAACGCCCGCTGGCGGAGTCCCGGCGTAAAACGGGTCCGGGACAAGTGTCAGCGGCCGCGAGTGGGACCCTGCAGCGCGCTCGCTCGCTCGCTCTCTCCGTGCCGGCGGCTGTCCCCGCGGCTGGGCGGGCCAGGGCGGGGAAATGTTGCAGGAGGAGTCGGACCTGTCCCTCATCATTGCCCAGATAGTCCAGAAACTCAAGGGCTCCAATCTGTACGCCCAGCTGGAGCGGCAGGCCTGGGTAAGCGGCGGCGGGGAGGAGGGAGGCCGGCGGCCGTCTGCTCTGCCCACCGCTCCCTTGCGGTGCCTTAAACCCCGTCCCCGAGCCCCGCACCCCGGGTTGCTCAGACCCAGGCGCGGGGCGATCGTATGGTATTAAAGATGGGTGGGGCACATCACGCCTTTCTTCAGGCCAAGGCTCCTCATGCCTTTATCCGTGGAGCCAGCCGTTCAAGGGGCCCGTTGCTCCTAAACTGCTGAGTGGCATGCCTTCCTTCCCCTTTACTGCCTCGTGGCTCGGTTGGGACTCATTGTACATTTAAAAAAAAAAAAAAAGAAAAAAAGAAAGAAAAGAAAAGAAAAGAAAGAAAGAAAAAAGTGTGGCTTTCTTGCACTTTACTGTCCCTGAAGTGATTTGCCATGCGCCCACCTGGCATTTGTGGAACACATTCAAACAAACCAAGGGCCGTGAGGATGCGGGATGACCGGGAGATCTGTCCTGTATGAGAATGCCGTCTAAATGCGATCGCACAGCATGTACACTGTTGTGGGAGCTGCTGTCAGCATTAGGCTTTAGGGGTTCATCCCTGCTGTTGGTATTTCTGTACTCGCGTTCCTTTTAATTGCTGACCACCAGCATTTCATTGTTTGGGAGCCCCATTGTTAGTTCCTCTCTTTAGGACTTACCTGGCAGATATTTAGATTTTGTTTTGTTTTTTTTATTGTGGGTAATGATAATATGTCTTCTGGGTGACTATCTTTGATTCATGGATTATCTAGAAAATGCACTGTTTAGTTTTCAAATTTTGGGGGGGATTTTTCTTCCCCAATGTCTTTCTTTTGTTGTTTCTAGTTTAACTCCTGGATGGAGAACATTTATATTAAGTTAGTTAGTTAAATTTTGTGGAAAAGAAAGATTGTAAGATCCAGAAGTGATGGCTGGTTCTAAGGAGACAGCGACTTCCACACAGCAGGACTGATGCACATAGGAACACTTATACAAATTCCAGTCTGGTGGAGTTCCATCACCGAGAGGGGAAGTGAACACATTTCCCACCTCTAATCAAGAAGCTAACTGCAATTGCTATGCACTGGCAAAGAGAAAATACACTCCCCATTGTCACTGAGGACATCAACCATGGTCCAGGGCAGTCCCCAGGCCCAGGAGTAGTTAGCCAATACAAGAATACACAAAGAACTCCATGGCTATTTTTTGGTAGACTTTCTGTTTCACTTTGGCATTGTTTGGTCTTAATTGATTTTGTTTTGATTTCTGTCACCTTGTTTTTGTTTGTGTGAGAGAGAAAACATAAAATGGGGTGGGTAGTTAGGTTGGGGGGGGAGTGGGAAACATGATGGGAATGTACCGTATGAAAAACTTTTAATTAAAATAGAAAAATGTAACAATTAAAATCCAATATAACAGAAGTGGAAAACAAAAACAAACACGCGAACAAAAAACCCCTCTGTCTATATGTTTAGTAGTTGATTGCCTCCCTTCCCTCCCAAGCTCTCCCAAAGGCCACGTAGTATGGAGACCAGTTTGTCCTTGGGTGACCTTGTTTAGAATCTGGTTCATTTTGTTTTCTTAACAGTTTCTGGTTTTCTTTGTGTGTGTATGGGGGGGGCAGAGTGGATTCAAAAGTTATGATTTTATTCCAGGCCTGTTAGTGGTGATAGCTGGATTTTGGAATCACTTACTATCCCTGTGTTGGGTCAAACTGTTAACCTAATAGTGTTACCTTCATGAGATTCTAAGATAATAAACAAGCAAACACGTGATCCCTGGTAGGTAGAACGCCCAGACTGCCAGGGCTCTCGCCCCTACTGCTTTTGTTTCCGTCAATCCAGAAACTACTTTCCATTTCTGCCTCTATTGTTTTCAGTCAAGTGACTTCCTATTTGTACTGTAAGATTTTGTAAAATTTTCTACCCATTTCTTAAACCATACACAGTTCTTTGTAATCTTACACTTTGCATATAAATTTACTGCATGCCATATTTTCTTGTGTCCGTTAATTGATATGTTTATGCTACTACTAAGTTTTTAAAGGCAACAGGGTTATGACTTTGTAAATAGTGTGCGTTTTGCTCATTGTCAGTCTGTGAGTGAGATTGTCTCACAGTGGCTTTCTTAGATGGAGTTGGCACAAACTCGCTGACGTCGGTGGCCCTCTGTGATGAGAAAAATAGCTGTACCACTTTCCTTTCTTATGTCTGTTAAGACTTATATAAATGTATTCTGGCCTCATGGATGAGTAACGGGTGTTGCCTTCTTTCTCATTTGCTACGTTCTATAAGCGTTAAGAACTTTTATTTATTTATTTAAACATTGGGGCGAGTTCTCCAATATAGCCTGTGTTTAGGACTTTCTGTTTGGGAGGTTAATTATTCTAGTCAACACACTTTGTTTTAAGAATAGCTTCCGGTTTGTAGAGAAATCGAGCAGAAGGCAGGCAGTTCCCCATCTCTGCTCTTACTTCCGAGAGATCCCCTTTATTTTTACTGTGTCTCACCAGTGTGGGATGATGCCGAACCCTTACCATTACTGGAGTCTGTAGTTCCACCAGGGCTCATTCTTTTTGCTGTGCAGCTCCAGAGCTTTCGTGTAAAATTCCGAGTGCCTTACTGGACTGTTCTTCACCCCTTCCTTGTCCTGAGTACCCAGATCCCATCTACCACTGTCTTTTTCTGTCTAAACGTGTCCCTTTGAGAATATCATACCACCACGCTGACATAGTACGTGACCTTTTCGCTGGCTTCTCATAGTTACCAACAGTGCATCAGTTCCTAGTATCTCTTGCATGACTCGATAATTGAGTTTTCTTCTGCCAAGTGGCATTTCATTGTGTAAGCTTATCATTTTGTACAGTCCACCCTGAACAGAATGTGGGTTTCCTCCAAGTTCTGGCTGCTATAGGTGAACCCTCTATAAACAGTTCTCAGTAATGCTTCAGGTCTAAACACACATTTTCAAATTTGAAGAATACCAAGGATAGTGATTGATGGTTGTGTGATAAGACGATGGCTAATTTGTAAGACAGTGACAATTGGCCTCCCCGGGCGGACACAGTGTGTTTTTATTCTTGTGAACTATGAAAGAAAATTCCCATTGCTCACATTTTCCCCAGTACTTGTCATCTGTGCCTGGTATGTGCTGTGATAACTCATTGTTTTAGTTTTCAGGTTCCTAATAGCATAGCATTTCTTTAACAACAGATTTTCTAGAGCAAATTGCTAGCTTTTGCACAGGGGCTGGAGTGCTAGGGTCTGGGATTGGTTTGGAGTCCTGCTTGTACTCTGCCACTGAGTTATACCCTGAGTCTCAAATTTCTTGGTTTTCATCCATCCAGTGGTGCTTTTGGTAATCTTCAGTTTAAAGGACACTTCTTGTGCATTCTAAGGTGCACATGGTTTCCTTGCAGTGTGCTTGGGGTGTTATCTGTTGTCTTTTCCTGTCTTCTGTTGTAATTCTGTCATTTCTGACTGTTGCCTGCCCATACCTGGTGGCTTTTAACATTTGCTTCTGTTTGGAGGGTTTCAGTGAACTTGTTAAGAAGGTATTGTTGTTTTTATATTATTGTTGATGGTCGTTCATTCTGTTCTGTCTAATGTCAGTTTGACACCAGCTACAGTCATCTGAGAGGAGGGAGCCTTGGCTGAGAAGAAAATGCCCCCGATCATCATGCTATAGGCAAGCCTGTGGAACGTTTCCATACTAATTAGTGGTGGATGGGGGAGGGCCCAGCCCATTACAGATGGTGTGACATCTGTGCTGGCCATCCTCGGTTCTGTGAAAAAGCAGAGTGAGCAAGCCGTGGAGAGCAAGCCAGTGAGCAGCACCCCTCCATGGCGCCGGCATCAGCCTGTGTGAATTCCAGGCCTGACTTCCTTCACTGATGAGCAGTGGAGTGGACATGTAACCCAAACAGACTCTTCCCTCCTCCAGTTGCTTTTGGCCGTGGTGTTTCATCACAGCAGTAGTAACTATACGTAAGAAAGAGTCTTGCCTTTGTGTGGTGTGGTGTCAGGTGGACAGCAGCACGCCTTTATCAGAAGCTTTGCATTCTGGACAAATTAAAATAGAAAATAAAATTAAAATGACAGCATCATTGTCACCTTCCCCCATGACTAGTCATCTTGGGATTAGTCATCCACTTTAATGCATTATGGAGTGTGTTGAGTCAAGATCGGTCTCCCGTTGGCTCTTTCCTGGGCCCCCAGGCTTTCAGCAAAGGCTTTGGTGTATTCTGTGAGTCCTTTACGTTTGGGTCTAAAACCTAAACCTTTTCTGTGTCTATGTGTTTAGTCTTCTATTCCACAGAGTCCCGGTTCTTGAGGATAAAACTGACCAAGCTTCTGATACTTGTGAAGTCTCTAGTTGTTTGTCTATGTGTCTTCGGCGGGCCTGCACGAGGCGTTGTGCTGGGCCACTCCTGACTCTCAGGTCCTGTCTTTCCAGTAGGCAGAGAGAGGTGACATTGTACAGCCAGTCACTCTCCCAGGGTTTTCTGTTGTTGGTCTAATTCCTGTTTACTCAGCAATGCTTTTCCACGTGTGTGTGTGTGAGTGTTTGTGATTATGTGTGTGTGATTGTGTATGTGTGATTGTGTGTATGAGTGTGTGTGTGATTGAGTGTGTGTGATTGTGTGTATGTATGTGTGAGTGTGTGTATGTGTGAGTGTGTGTGATGGTGTGTGTGAGTGTTTGTGAGTGTGTGTATGAGTGTGTGAGTATTTGTGATTGTGTGTGAGTGTGTGATTGTGTGTTTGTAATTGTGTGTGTGAGTGTGTGTATGTGTGAGTGTGTGAGTGTTTGCGAGTGTGCAAGTGTTTGTGATTGTGTGTGTGAGTGTGATTGTGTGTGATTGTGTGAGTGTGAGTGTGTTTGTGTGTGTGAGTGAGTGTGAGTGTGTGTGAGTGTTTGTGATTGTGTGTGTGAGTGTGTGTATGTGTGAGTGAGTGGGAGTGTGTGTGAGTGTTTGTGATTGTGTGTGTGTATAAAGGGGGGAGAGGGAGAGAG